CATCTTAGCATCTGGAGAAGCATCTCGAAAAGCATCTTGAGAAGCATCTCGAAAAGCATCTTAAGAAGCATCTTGAGAAGCATCTCGAAACGCATCTTGAGAACAGACGCATCTTGAGAAGCATCTTGAAAAGCAGAAGCATCTTGAAAAGCATTTTCAGAAGCATCTCGAAAAGCATCTTGAGAAGCATCTTGAGAAGCATCTTGAGGAGCATCTCGAGAAGCATCTTGAAACGCATCTCGAGAAGCATCTTGAGAAGCATCTCGAGAAGCATCTTGAGAAGCATCTCGAGAAGCATCTTGAGAAGCATCTCGAGAAGCATCTCGAGAAGCTTCTTGAGAAGCATCTTGAGAAGCATCTCGAGAAGCATCTTGAGAAGCATCTTGAGAAGCATCTTGAGAAATATCTTGAGAAGCATGTTGACAAGCATCTTGAGATGCATCTCGAGAAGTATCTTGAGAAGCATCTCGACAAGCATCTTGATACGCATCTTGAGAAGCATCTCGAGAAGCATCTCGAGAAGTATCTTGAGAAGCATCTTGAGAAGCATCTTGAGAAGCATCTTGAGAAGCATCTCGAGAAGCATCTCGGGAGGTATCTCATCTTGAGAAGCATCTTGAGAACATCTCAAAAAGCATCTTGAGAAGCATCTCGAGATGCATTTTGAGAAGCATCTCGAGAAGCATCTGGAGAAGCATCTCGAGAAGCATCTTGGGAAGCATCTCGAGAAGCATCTCGAGAAGCATCTCGAGAAGCATCTCGAGAAGCATCTCGAGAAGCATCTCGAGAAGCATCTCGAAAAGCATCTTGAGAAGCATCTTGAGAAGCATCTCGAAAAGCATCTTGAGAAGCATCTCGAGAAGCATCTTGAGAAGCATCTCGAGAAGCATCTTGAGAAGCATCTCGAGAAGCATCTTGAGAAGCATCTCGAGAAGCATCTTGAGAAGCATCTTGAGACGCATCTCGAGAAGCATCTCGAAAAGCATCTTGAGAAGCATCTTGAGAAGCATCTTGAGGAGCATCTCGAGAAGCATCTTGAAACGCATCTCGAGAAGCATCTTGAGAAGCATCTCGAGAAGCATCTTGAGAAGCATCTTGAGAAGCATCTCGACAAGCATTTTCACAAGCATCTTGAGAAGCATCTTGAGAAGCATCTCGAGAAGCATCTTGAGAAGCATCTTGAGAAGCATCTCGAGAAGCATCTTGAGAAGCATTTTCAGAAGCATCTTCAGAAGTATCTTGAGAAGGATCTCGAGAAGCTTTTTGAGAAGCATCTCGAGAAGCATCTTGAGAAGAATCTCGAGAAGCATCTCGAGAAGCATCTTGAGAAGCATCTGGAGAAGCATCTTGAGAAGCATCTTGAGAAGCATCTCGAGAAGCATCTTGAAAAGCATTTTCAGAAGCCTCTTGAGAAGTATCTTGAGAAGCATCTCGAGAAGCATCTTGAGAAGCATCTTGAGAAGCATCTTGAGAGGCATCTCGAGAAGCATCTCGAAAAGCATCTCGAAAAGCATCTTGAGAAGCATCTTGAGAAGCATCGTGAGAAGCATCTCGAGAAGCATCTTGAGACGCATCTCGAGAAGCATCTCGAAAAGCATCTTGAGAAGCATCTTGAGAAGCATCTTGAGGAGCATCTCGAGAAGCATCTTGAAAAGCATCTCGAAAAGCATCTTGAGAAGCATCTCGAGAAGCATCTTGAGAAGCATCTTGAGAAGCATCTCGACAAGCATTTTCACAAGCATCTTGAGAAGCATCTTGAGAAGCATCTCGAGAATCTTTTTGAGAAACATCTTGAGAAGCATCTCGAAAAGCATCTTGAGAAGCATCTCGAGAAGCATCTTGAAGCATCTTGCCCTGGCAACGCGGTGGCTTCCCTGTTTTCCCCCATGAAAAGGATGCTTGTCCCAAGCGTTTCAATCTTCGTTCGGCCGCACTCCTGCAGGACGGCACTGAGTGATGGATCAAGGAGTGCAAGTCAAGCTGCTGCCTGGGCCGCCATGGAGCCAGGCCGTTTTCCTGCCAGTGGGTATCCCGCAACGCAAACAAGCGCTTGCGGCAAGAAACAGTCCTTTTGGCTTCTGCCGCAAAAACAAGCCCATGTCTGCATTCGGACAACTGTGGAGGCCGTCCGCGAAGCCATTGTCTTCCTTTTTTTTGGGCGGGGATTCCCTGCATTAATGGTTGCTGTGGATTGCTCTACTGTAGCACCTTGGCGGGGGCTGCAGCCCCCCAACCTCAATTTCTCAGTACAAACTCATCCTTGGATGGTGGCGGCACGCACGCGTTGTTCCTTTCTAGGGGAAGGGGGAGGGGTTACTTCTTGTGACGTGAAAGACCGTAAAAAATGGCCGGAGGCGGACTGGGGAAGACTGGGGGAAAGACCACAGGAAGGCTCCAGGGAAAGGGGAAGACTACCGGAAAACTGTGGGAAAACTACCGGAAGACGGGAGGGGGGAGGGGGGTGGTAGTATCGTTCCTAAAATTCTGAAGTGGACGGTATGTTCAACATTGTGGAATCTGCATTCTACTATTTTTGGGCCAGGGTAAGTAGGGGCATTGACATTACCATGTCAAAATAATGAACTGGGGGTGGGAGTTGGCGTATTGTTTCCAGCATAATGAACATGGCTGTCCATGATTTTCTCGCCTCGGTCCAAGCTTTAAACTCTCGAACTACATCCTGGTCAGAAAACATACAAGAGCTTGCTAGATCTGTACCGACTCCCGTTCGCGAATAAGAGCAACCATCGGAACAAAAGAACACAGTGACGATGTTTGCCGCCAATGAGTTGCTAAAACTGTCCCTCAAAATCGGTGCGAGTTAACGCCGAAAAAGGAGAGCTCGTTGAAAGCTCCGCTTGCTGTCTCTAAGAAACTCGGGGCAGTAAACACCCGTGTTCAGACCCCTTGGCTCCGTATTGCCAACTCACTGAGTGTACAAATACCCGCAGCCCCACCCCCAAGTGGAGGCCCTGTGGCGCACGCTTGTCATCCGCCAGCATCACTGCATTCAGCTCACACGACCTGGGCGAACGCGCCAGGAAAGCAATGCCTCGGCAAAACAACACAGGCGGAGCATGGTTGAGAATTGGCATGGTTAAAGGCACCACACGCATGGGTACAGCTGTCTGTGACTTCACCGATCTTGAATCCGCCGAGGCCCGGCCTGAGGCGATTAGATCACAGCGAAGCGACCGAGAGGGAAGTATAAGAACTAGTACCAGTTAGCCAGTTAGTACTTGAGACCCCCCCCGGGTTTATTTTTTTTTGCGAGTCATTGAGTCTTGAGCGCCTGCTTGGTGCATGTTGCTTCCCGCTGCGCGAGGGCCTTTTTTGAGCTTACAGTGAGGTGCCAAAGTTCGAGTTTGTAGCTCAGTTGAAACTGGATTCGCTAGTTCGCGGGCTCGATCTTGGTTGGAGGACAGTCATCGCCAGCATCATCAGTCTGCATCGCGTTGGCAGCATCACCAATCTGCATTGCCAGCATCACGGGTTCACATTGCTGATTTGCTTTGGCATGTAACACAGCCCAGCTTTGGGGCTGTTTTGAAAAAAGCTCCACATCGGCAGCATGCGCACGCTGACTCGCACACCCCAGATCGCCAGCATCACCTGCTGACAGTTCTGCAATCAGTCGTGTAAACCAGCCCAGTTTTGGAAAAAACTCGGCTGTTTTGGACAAAGTTCAACGTCGGCAGCACGTGTCCACACCGTCAGGACCTGTTCACATTGCTGTTTGTCTAGCCGAGTAAGAAGGCAGATCTGCAAATCTGTCGCGCCGAGGAGGGCTTGCGGCACTGGAATGAATTCGTTCCAGGCATTCAGCCAAGGCGTTCGGTCGATGTTCCGGACTTCGCTGAGGCAACTGAAAGCGTCAACTCCCTCGGGTTCAAACGACCGAGGACAGGCCGAGTCAACAGTAAGGTTAAGGGTAACGTAAAGCCTCTTGAGCTGTGCCGTCCAAACAGAACGACTGTGCTCACCTATTTTTCCAAATAGCCCCACAAAACGAGCTCAAAGTATGTTCCTCCCACACGCTTCACTTTCCTTCCAACTGAAGAGAGCGGACAACAAATATCATAGAGTACGTCATGAAGCACGTGATAATCTTTCATACAAGACATAATTCACGCTCTCTCCAAAGCTGAACACCAATCATCTCCGAGATTGACATTCTGACTTGTGCCAAGGGGAGGAGTCTTGAGCAGCGTGCCAGGCACTGAATTCGCGGACATCAATAAAGCCCAAGTCACCTGGTTCACTTGCGCGAACTAGAAGCCGCTTGGAGACCCGCCCAGAGGCATTAAAGCAAGTGAGTACAGGGGTTGGAGACATGGCTCACAGGCAGCTTCTTCATTCGCACAGAACAAAATGTTTCGAAGGGCCTTGATGGGCCTTCAGGTTTAGCAAGTCTAGCCTTCAGCAAAAAAGGAACGTCAAAAAATGACGTACCACAATTGCAATGGCAGTCGCGGAATGCGTTGCTCGCTCGCGCGCCGCAGAGGAACTGTTGACCAGACAAATTGCGGCGTCTGCGAAGGGAGCCACCAAACTAACACTTGCGTTCTGAGTGAAGCAAGCACATGAGCATAGTCCCCAAACACACACCCACACAAAATCACCCATGTGGCACGGTCCTAGAAAACAAAACTACAAAACTTCATAATGACAGTTGCAGCAGCCCGCCCACAGTCGACGACATGCTTTATCTGCACAAGTCACGCACTGTACTCTCAAGGTGTCCTCCAAGGCATCTACACTGGTCGCGTAACGCGAAAACATCCCTTCAGAAAGAGCACATGTCTGAACTCGTCGCTACGTAGCAACTGGCAAACTGCCTGGACATCTCTTGCCCGCGCTCTCCCTACAAGCAGGATTGGGAGCGGTATTGCCCTGGGCTCTTTTGGCGAGACAAAGTGCCATTCATTGAGCCATGGATTTGAGACCTTTGCGTTGCAGCAAAACAGCCCATCTTCGAGGAATCTTTTTGGCCTCTTTTTGATCTCCCAAAAGGTCCCCAGTCCAGTGTTCGGGCACTAGCTGCGCCATCATGCATTCGCTCACCCGACCGGACTGTCACATCTCAGTCGTCTGTCTCCTGGAGTGAGAGCGATCAAACGATCAAACGTCATGTTTCGGATCAAGGAAAAAAGAACCAAGTTCCTACCTAAAACCATCCGCATTCATCTCATCTCCGGACAATGTGCGCTGCAAAGCTCACACCTTTCCTGCAAGGACTTGAAGTGCATAGCTGTCTGTATCAACAAAAAACTACGGGGACTTCTCACAAAATTTTACAACCCTCAACCTGCAACTCTAAAGTGTTGGACCACATGTATTATATGTATTGCGACGAGTATGATACGATTTTGTCCACTGCACATATATGCCACCGCAACTGAGAAAAAAACACCAATTTTTGGGTCTCCTTATTGACACATACCATATAAGTATGGGCTTGTGCTGCCCTCTCACAGATTCGCAATCAATGGCCTGGCTTGCTCTACAGCTGGTTTTCGGAGACGCGCAACTCTGTCAATGTGTTTTTTCTCTTTCTCTCTTTCTCTCGCTCTCTGCCGTGCACCGTGGATGCGAGGACGGCTTTCGGGTTGAGTGCGGAGAGAAAGGCAGGCCACAAGCGTGCGTGCACTGAGATCATGCATCCCGGGGGTGAATGCAGGTCTGAGTACAAGGGCGCAAGCCAGGGTCTGAGTTCCAGGCTCAGACTGGTGGCCTGCAACTTCATTTGAACGAAATGGAATGATAGCCAAGAGATGACACGCACAGAACCGCTCTCACAGGTCCTTGCCCCCTTGCCCCAAATATTCCGCTAAACATGGTTCCGAAAAGCATGTCATCCACAGGACCTTGCTTACCCACTTTTGTCGCCCATGTCCACTCCATGGATTTTGAGACCCTCTTAAACCCAAAGGTCAGAAAGAGGTTCTTTGTGGCAAAGATCTCTTTCGGCAAAGCCGGTCGTGACTTTGTCACTTTCAAGGGGGACTGTTATCACAGAAAGTGGCGAGCTGAAGGGCAACTTGCAACCGCGCACGTGTCCGAACTCGTGGTGGCTGTTGAAGCCCACTCCGGAGGAGGCCAGCGACGTGAAGGTGTTCGTTATCCTCAAGATTTGCCTCTTTGTTGTGGTATGGCTTTCTGCGGAAAACCATTGAGCGGTGGCAAACCCAGCGCAACTTTATGTCCAAAAACCAGGGACGCAAAGCACCAAGCCTCTCGCCTTGTTTGGCCTCAAGTCAAGGCGTTCCCCGATCCTTGGGGGGTCTCTGGGGTGCTGCGCGCACAGCTTGTTAGGGCAATTGCCGCAGTCAAGGGGTCTTAGCAGCCTTGTTTGTTTTTTGCATGTCCCGGCGTTTGTGCACGTGTGTTCTTGTTTGTTGTTTTTTGTTTGTTGTGGTCATGGGTCCCTTTCTCCTGGCCTGGGCTCTCATTTTGGCCCCACCAAGTCATGAGTGCCTGAAGCCTGCATGAGGATGATGGGTCAGGGGACGCGTTTGCTGCAACACATGAAGATGAAGCTTTGCAGGAGACCAGATCAGTGAGTGTGTCTCTGGAGATAATTTGAAGGACACCTTGCAGGTGGAGAAGGTCGCGTTTCTGCTTGCCTTTGCGGAATCGGAAGCTGCAAGGGCGCAAAAAGCGGTACCAAGCATGCAATCAAGCAGGCAGAGGTGGGCTCCGGAAACCGTAACATGCGACCCCAAGGACCGCTTCACGTTGAACACTTGTTCGGGCCCGCCAGCCAATCTCGGTGGAAACCCCCGAGCTCGACTATCAGGGGAAGGCTGGTGCCGTCTAAGGGGGGCCGCCATGCCAGCAAGGTCAGTTTCCGAATTAAGGTGTCTACCCGGGGGGTTGGGAGCTCCACAGCTCCCGCTATGCAGTTTGGATGTTTCGGCAGCCATTACGACTTGCTTCTTTGGAGCTTAGGACTGCGGCACGTCGATGAACATCTCTACGCAGGATAGCGCTGGCACGTCGGTCGACAACCCTGGCGGCTTGCGGCTGCCTCGGTGGCACCCATGGACAATTGGTCCGCCTTGTAATTGTTGCGCCGTTTTTGGTTGTTTGCGCTGTTCTGGGAGCTTCCTTTTTTGGATTCTTTTGTCTTTGCCCTTTTGAGGAAGTCCTGGGACGCTGAGGCTTTGGCCATGCTTAAGCTTAATTCGACGAGTGTGGCATGACCCGCAAGACTCGGTCCAGGAATGGTGCGGCCAGAGGTAAGCGGGTTCGATTTCCACGGGGCAAGGACAAGCGAGCCGAACTCGGTCGCCGTGCTTGGCCAGCGTTCTGGTTGCACTGGCGCCTGATCAGTGAGACCTGCGCGGGCAACTTGTCTTAGATGTGCATCAGGTCCAGCCTTGTCTTCTGCCAGGAGGCTGGTCAACCACGCAGTCAATTGACAGGGCAGTTGAGGTTCGACTCCCGTGGGGTGACCAATACCCTCGACAGCAAGCCGTATAGTAGTGGTCGTGGTAAAAGGGGGTTGTAAGGTAAATGATCTGCGTTGTCTCACGACTCGATGCGACCGCGGAATACGAACCCTTTTGCTTTGCTTCACAGCTGTGTTTGGAAGTTTGCCTCGATCCTATTATCAAGGTCTTGGGCCAAATGCATTCGCATGTACATGTCGGCTGCACTCAAAACACAATCCCCCAAAAGGTTTAGGACCTTAAACAAGGGGAAGTCACAGGGTGACCCTCAGAACCTGCCCTTAGGATGTTTTCGCCTTGCGGCTCGGAGATTCTTAGCATCCCCCGTCCCGGGCTAGGGTTCATCCCTGGGTCGGGAACCAATCACAAACGCATGCCGACGCGCATGGACGCACGGCTTCTCTTTTTACTCAATTCAGTGAAACGTCTCTGCACGAGTTTGGCCAGGTTCTGTAAACTAAACATGAAATAAGAATGCTACAGGTCTCTTACCAGACCTCATGTGCAATGATGCACATGCAGCAAGGTATCTATAAGGTACTCGTACAGATCCATAGCAGTCTGCAGAAAACGAATATCCATGACGAGCATAGTCCATCACCAATTTGTGACCAGTAATAATTGTAGCATCGTATAATCGTTGACCACCAAGCACCTGGCCTCTCCGGAATAGTAGTCGCCGATGACGATACTGTACGGAAACAAGAAAATATTTTGTGGTGATAAATGGAAGTCTCATGCAAATACTTTTGGATTGCCCGGTGTACCGTTCACGACGGGTATCACCTTGGGCTGGCCATGATATCATTCACGATGATTATCACGACTTCGTCTTGTATATAACTGCAAATTCCAGGTGGTCCCCCATGTAGAAGAAATCGTAAGGAAAATGCTTGATCACCAGTGTGATGCTTCTGCGATGGCCTTTCTACTCGCCCTCCATCGGAACCTTTCTAACAGAGATTGTGGTGTCTCCTCGGTCCGATTGATCTTCCCGATGAAACGCGAGGGCAGATGTATGTTGCGATAATAGCACCATTGGATACGAGGGGTATCGGCCTCTTTGACGCCTTGAATGCAAATAATTGCACCAAGCTCAAGTTTCAAAAACTTTCGTCCAATGTTCACATCTGTTCGGTAGAAGGTCATGTAATCGCAGTTGAGGCCGAGGGCGATGCAACGGAAGATTGTTTCGCTGATGAAGGAAATGCCCTTCTGATGGCTGACACCCCTGAACTGATCTGCTTTAATACCAAGTATGTTGCAGGCCGTCCAGATCCGGTACATGAGGTAGAGCCCTCTGAGCTTCTTGAACCAGAAGAACATTTCTTCGTCCCTGTGGTTCGTGCTCTTGAACCTCACATTCTTGAACTTAGGAGCGGCAGTGACATCTTCGTAGGTCGGCGGGGTTGGAATGTTCGTCTCATCAACATCTTTGAAAATCCAATCGTCCCTCCCGTTGAACGAGATGTAGGGGCAATATAGTCCGCCTTCTTTGCCGGGCTCCTTGACCACATCGAATAATACCTTCCATACTTTGAAAAGTACGACGCCAATGAATCCAGAGAGGTATGATGCCTCGCCGGCTTCGTCAACGCAGATGGCCTTGACTTGTGGGAGATGAATTGCGTCCGCATCCTCCTCTGGGATATCCGGACAAACTCCCACATCTTCATCGTCGATGTCCGTCCCGATGTCCGATGGGATGTACGATTTGCCTGCAGATCGTTTCTCACTCATCTCCTGCGTGTCGGGTCGTTCTTCTTCGGCGACGAATCGCTCAGCATCCTCCTTTGCTTCTCGCTGAGCTTGTTTCACTTCCTCCGTCATGAAGGGAATGGTCTCGAAGGCGACAATCGTTCCTCCCGACGTGACCCCTGACTGGTACACGGACAACTTTCTTGTCGGCACATAGATGGCGATGAGGTCGTCTCCCTCTTTGACATCGTGCATTGCGGTCTTGGTCGAGATGTTCTCGCTGTCCCAAGGTGCAAAATCTCCGAAGTGTACTGCCAGTCTTCGTGCACTGTCATTGCCGCCAGGAACGATACATCTCAAAATGATACCTTCCAGGGCTGATGGCTTTGTCGCGTGAAATGCTCCGCCCAAGCGGTCGGACATGTTCGGGAACAAGATGTTGCAAAGTTCAGCAGGACGAGCGAATCCGAAATCCGAATGCCCTGATGACGCTCGAATGCACCATGGTTGCCACCATCCGCCATGCTCGCGACGAGTCCAGTCAATGTCTTTCTTTGTCCATCCAGCCGCTATGAGACCTTCCATCGTCTCCGCGTCGATCTCCTGGTCAAACTTCGCAGCAAGGATCTGCAGTCTCGGCTTTCGTGCTCTCCGATCCTCCAATCTGATGCACTCAGCGATCATTTGGAATCTGTCGCTCTTCTTGCGCCGGTCCTGCGGGTACGCGCTGTTGCGGTTCAGGACGTGGTCAATGTCTACCCATCCTCCGCCATTGCAAGGAATGGAGTTTCCCCACTTTTGTCCAATTTGATGTCGCAGGATCTTCACCAGTGCTTTTGACGTGAAATATAAGCCTTGATGGTGAATGTTGGACCCAAACGCTGTGTACTCATTGTACGGCCGATAGGGAAAGCTTGTATCTCGGTTCTGCATGACTTCCAAGTGT